AGAGATATCTTAAAACAAGTGAGATAAAGGGTGTGGTCATACATATAACTTTAGTCTAAGGGTCACGAAATCCTCTCCGAACCTCAGCGTGGTGTGGCCTGGTTGGCAGTAACGGGTGGTGTGCTCTCTTGTTGAGTACAAAGGTTGAGACTTGCCAACTCAAAGTTCCGATGTGGCCTGGTTGGCAGTAACGGGTGGTGTGCTCTCTTGTTGAGTACAAAGGTTGGGACTTGCCAACTCAAAGTTACCATAGGAACCAGGAAGTCGACACTAACAGCTACCAAGCATCAGGAAATTTCTCTTTCAGATATCAGGATACCAGATAGTACACGCACGAATGACGACACGTTAGACAAAGATACCTAGCTCTAAGAGCTATTAAATCACCAAGAAATTCTCCTTCGGCTTTTAGGTCCCAACGAAGTCACCCACCACAGAGCTACGGATTCCAATTCGCTCATTCTGACTACAAAGACACACTGATAATTAGTAGTCTTTGCACTCCCTCAAGTAACCACTATTCAGGTCTTTTTCAGTTAAGACAGGTAATGCATAAGGGCTGACACACGCTAGACACAGGCTCGTGATAAGACAGAGTTAGAGATTTCAAATCTCTCACTCTGACTATGAGGAGTGAGGACACACTGATAGCGAGAATCCTTAGCACTTCTCCCTCCAGTGACCATATTCCAGGTCATCTCAGCTAGACAGCTAAGGGCTCATCTTGAGGCCATCACATTTAACCTAGGATTAGGGGACCGGGTTAGCTTTGTCAAACTCTTCATTGAAGTGTGACAAAACGCTCTACAATCATCTAATAGCAGCAGAGTTCGACTGACACCATTACTGGTTCTAATCAGTTTATACAGCAGAAGTTCTTAACGTTCGAAAACAGTTCATCTTGGACATCCTCCAGAGATGCTCTATCATAGCCTGTCGCATTACACGGGGAACCCTTAGATCTACAGTACCCTGGTGGACAGCATAGCTCACTAAAGCATAATCGGACCAGGAACAAACAACAATGCAATGCCTCAGGGATGCAAATATTAGGACATCAAAATTTTAACGAATGCATTACTCAAACTTTGGATTCAATTTGTTAGCCCAACGTTAGATGGTAACAATACAGGACAGACAATCCTCCTTTACTTTCATTGAGAAAATAGTACCCACTATTTGCATTAGACATGGCAAGTATCTGGACTAATGATAACTTAGGATCCCCATCAATCATTAATTCCTCTCAGATTCCCAGGCTGCATTTAAAGCGCCTAACAGCACCAGTTTTAACTCCAGGTTCGTTCAGGGACGTAGCCAGGATTTTTCTTTGGGGGGGGGGGGCCTGTCGGCGAGCCAACGCGTCCATTCCAGCTGCGCAGCGAGCAAGCTGTGGCGGAGGTCGTGGGCCCAGGGCCCAGCGGGGCGGAGCCACTTGGCGGAGCCACTTGGCGGGGGCTAGGGTGGCGCAGGCCCCGGAAAATTTTGCAAAATAGATTTTGACATTTCCTACGGTCTAGGGGACACTAGCCCCCCCCCCCCCTGTCTACGTGCCTGGGTTCGTTCTGAACATCTCAGACCAACTCAATTCAATAGGTATTCACATCGAGTAGAACTTGGATGTTCCAGGGCATGAAGGAGTAACGGTAAAGAACTAGCGGACGAATTAGCAAGGGATGATCAATCCAACAACATCCCCATAGGACCAGAACCCTTTCTCCCAATTAGGCCAAACTCAGTGACAAAGGAAAATCACACTTGAGATGTTCCTTCACAAACATAAATACAGGTATTTTAATTTTTCTGGAACTCACATCAGATGGCTGACATGGCCACTGTCAGGATAGATCACAGCCCACTAGTTTAACAACGTCAACTTCGAGACACAAGATTGTGGACACTTTCAGGAGAAGCAGAAACATCCCAGCACCTCCTCTGCAAGGGCATCCATATCATGACACTCAGAATGAGGATAATTGGAAAACCACTAAGGACTACGGAGGATCTTAACTGTTCTAACCAATCTTTCCCCTTTAGCAAAGTCACCCTGAACTCTACTGTGGTGAGTAGAGTGTTACACTTTGTAACGGTGCTTAGCTTTTCTTAGTATTATAGCTTTCAGTTCATGTTTCTAGTAAGATAAGATCTGGTATTGATACTTCTAATTGCATTTATTCTATAATGAATTGCATTACACATTATATATGCTTTTAGATAGATACCAATCATCGTGATTCCATTGCATACATCAGACTAGAGCAATAAACATTAACAACAGTAAATTCAACCATATCTTCAAATTTGTGGAACAGTCGACAATACTGGATAGTATAGGGAAAACCCTGGATTCTTCCTTTAATAAGTGTATACATATTATTACTATCCAGAACTAACAATATTTGCATTATACTTTCAAACCAATTTCACAGTGTGATCATTTAAACTTCATGTTGTGGACGTCAGCTGAATTTGATGCAACCGAAAATGCGACATGAGCATGTAAATTTGATATGAGAAAAAAAAATTGCGCAACAAAAAATTTGGTTAAATCTCCTTATTGCGATTTCTAACTGCGCGGCGTAGCGCGTACTTTTAAATCCAAATAAAAATTATTTTTGATTAAAATATCAAAAAATAAAATTACGGCATACAGCAAATCTTGTGTAAAAAAATGTGATAAACAATATGCTGTAAAAAAAATTCGTCAAAAACTTTAAAAACACGATGCCCCGCCCCATTTTTTAAATGGTCATTTTTGGAACTTTGACGGGCTATAACTTTCGCTAAGAACAGCCATTTGCCCAAAACTTGGTACCAAACGACTCTACTCAATGAGACCTTTCCAATGATGTATAATATGTTGGGTTTTGAGACATAAAATGTTCACCCGCAAGTTGATGCTCTTAGTACATACACTATTGTGCTGACTGCTTGGTGCGAGTATGAGACCGTAGCTAGCGAAGCAGAGCAACGATTTTGTTTACTGGGCGGCGCTCAGCCTGTCATTCCGCCGAATCTCTATTCGGTTATTATGTTTATGAACACGATAGCCTGAGGTCCCCAGGTAACGATCTTGTCTTCGATTCGAAGCAAGAATGCTAGTTTGCGCGGCGATTCGAAGCGGCGAAGTCCTCCAATTTATCACCATGCGTTCAATTTGGATTGATGGCTGTAATTGCTCATTCGATCTGTAGTCGAAGAAAACACTCTGAATAAGTTTCAGCATATTAATATTATTATAAAACACAATTTATAAACGAACATAACAAATTTACATTCCCAAATGTAAATACAATTCTCCTCCGACATCCGACAAATCAGTATTTAGCACATTTGCGATCCTCTTCTCCTTATATTAGCTGAGAGTTCGGTCCGCTTTCTCTTCCTTGTCCGATTTGCCTCCTCGAGTGCTTTTTCCTTCGCTTCGTCGATGCTCTTCACTAGTTTTCTGTATTCTGCATCCTGGAAATGGTGCAACGAGGGCGATATCCTCCCTCGTCAGCAGGAAGAATAAGCACGCAGGATGATTGTAGCAACTAGTTGTTCGTCCCTGAAGGGTATGATGTGATTCAATTTCATGTGAAGGATCACCTTCCATTTTCCTTTTAGACGTCCGAATAGGGATTCTATTATCATACGAGCTCTGGACTGACGCCAGTTGAAGCGGCCTTCCCAGGGTTGCAGAAAGATGCCAGGAAATCTGTTCATGAGGTTCTGATGTAGAGTGAAGGCAGGATCTCCAACAATGTGGTATCTGTCAGGAATTCTGTCCCTTCTAGTTCTAAGAAGGTTGTTGAATCCACTCATCTCTGAAATTTGAGAGTGAGGGCGAGCCGAGCTCCTTAGCAGGGTCGATCGTATCTCCAGCTACCGATCTAGAAAAAATGGATGGGTATATTTTTTCCAGGATCTCGGCAAATACTGTCTTTGAGACTCGGTACATTTCCACAAACTTATCGTTCGGCATATGTTGGCAGTCTTCCTCCCATACCAAAAGATTAAAGTCTTCAGGAACCGCTTCTGACGTCGCTCGTGAATATTTTCAGTTTCTGGGAAATCCTCTTCCTCTATCCTAGAAGAAACTCGGTCATAAGATTTAATAAGGCTTCCCTTGTATTCTGTAGCATGTTTTTATCCTTATGTATCTTATCATACTATTATATTGTGTCCAATGGTCTAACTCTAAAAGGTCGCCAAATCTGTAGCAGAAAACACGACATTTTTCCCGTAAGGCCTTCTAGAAGGTGTTTTAGTGGTGAGTGTACATTTCGCGGTCATTTTTAATGGAATAACAGTAACCAAGATAGTATGTTCGATCAAAGAATGTAAAACAGGTGGTTTACTGTATACCGAGGCGGTGCTTATCAGTCTCATCGGAATAAGTGATTTTATCATAGGTGTCTACTTGATAGCACTCTAGCTGTCTTCGATAGTTTCATTCACGGACAAAGTTACTGTAGGAAACTACTACCACGCAGTCCGTTCTCCTAGGAGTTTTTAATATTCCACTAAACTGAAACATCAGGATTTCCAGACGTGACTATTAAAGCCTTCGTTATTAAAGTAACATCTCTGTGAGTTTAAAATATTAGCGTTATTCTGTTATTGCCTTTAATTATCTTTCTTGATACGTTACGCTCGCTTATTTCCAAAATTATTTAAGCGTCTCCTTGCAACTTCAAACTTACAGATTCAATATCGGAGGGAACATGTTAAAATAATTGATCTGAAGAACGGAGCCTCTAACAGTTAAAAGTATCATTTTACAATTGGCTAGACACAGTACCAGATGTAAAGGTTTGTTATAATTTCTGTGGTTCACAGCACAACTTTCATTTAGTAGTCTCCATGCAACATTTAAAGATTTACTATCAACTCAGTTAAGCTATACCTTTAATTCCAATAAAGTAGCAAGTCTAGAAATTTGTAACAACTCCCTGACCTTCTGTTCAGATCGTATAAAAGCAAGGCAGAGAAAGGCTCATTATTCATTTCCAGTACAATCTCTCTATCTAAAGAAACTCTCCTTCTCTCTATCTAAAGATGACAATGTGGACTACGGTTATTGCAACCACACTTCTGATCGGTGCAGTGCAGTGTTACGACCAGTACACAAAATGCAACCTGAACTTCTACAACACCTACTCCTGCAACTATGAAAACCTGTGTCTGTTTGGGTGTAGTGATAACAAATGCTGGAGTCAGTGTAACGGAATGGGAGCTGTTGCCTGGGATGGACCCAAGGGGACTTGCAACAACGAGTACGGTGTTATCAACAGTATAGAGTGGTGCATCTCATCAGACGGTCCAGCAGGCGGGTGCTCTAGCGATGCAGACTGTGTGGCTTATAAGGGAAACAGCTGCAGTGGTGCCTGCTCAGTTGGCTGGAGCAACCCGGACCACAGTAATGCCATCATCAGATAGTGTGGTGACGTCATAAGGTAGTGTGGTGACGTATTGATGGACGGTATGGAACAGAACCCCGGAATTTTTGGACAGTTGCAAATTTTTTGAAAATATTTCATCCTAATTCTAAAAAGTAATTCAAAACCATGTGTTTCATTGAATTGTAAGATCGTATTTATTCACAATTAAGTCTTTCACAATTGGTTTCCACTCAAAATTATATAGAAGCTAAACATCCATATTTGAATGAAATGCTAAATTGAAAGAAATGTAATGAATAAACCAGCCTACCGGTCTAGTTAACACATTTAAATGACTTAACACCCAGTCTTGTGAGCAATTCCAAAAGCACATTATTCAAAAATATGCAAATGTGGTGACGTACGATTTCACATTTCAGCTACATAACAAACTAGAGTTACTTATAAACTACATACAGAACTCAAGGACTTCAAATTAAAATCTTTAAAACTATAACGAAACTACCATTAACTCAACACCTGAAAATTACACATTATCTCAAATTCAATGCCGTTAAGCACACACAAGACCGCATCACATGTATTTATAAGCTGTGATACGGAAAGTTCTTAAACTGGTTATCATGGTGCAAACCGGATATCATGGTACTACGTCCAACAAAAGATATTATCAAATTTCACAGAAATCAGATATTCGAAAATAAAATCATTAAAATTCTAAATACACATTATATTACATAGCCCAGAATCACAAATATCATAACGTTTATCTCGAAGCTCAGTATATGAAAAAGGTTTCCAGCAGTTTCCACTAGTTTAAATGAGAGGATGACTAGATGTTGAGGGATATCATGAGATAGCACCACAAGCGGTAATAGTGCCGGAGTAGGGGAGCGGAGGTCCGGAGTATGTGGTGAGATGTAGTGAGGACGGATCCCAGACAAGCAGCTGACTGTGCGACATTCCCCCGCATATCAGTACCTGTAAAAGAGAGGAACAGTTGTTAGATTAATCTGGCGGTTCGAGTAATCTGTTAGAATAATCTGGTGATATGTTGCATCAATCTGACATAATGTCAGATGATTAACAGACAAACCACTTCCGTCCTACTTTATTAATAAGTTTAACTATGAACATGTTGCAGTAAGGTCAGAGAGCTGATGTCACTAATTTGTCAGCTCAACAAGTATATGGTGCCAATTAAGTTGTGTCAGCTTACCAAGCTTATTATGATAGCACAGACTGGCCCAGAAGTAACTATGTGTTAGAATCACGACACAGACAGTGAGTTTTACTGTGATTGGCACTAAAATATAGTATCTGGCAAAACCTGGAACCTAGTAAACATGGAACCCTGACACGCAGCTAATTCTGAGTCAAGTTGTAAAATCTTAAAGTAACGGGCAAATATCTGACCCTTACCTTTTTTGACTTGGTTACAGCGCAGCCGAAGTAGCCCGTTTTAATGGGGAGGTCAGTGAACTCGGTCCACTTGTTGGCTCTCATATCGAACTGCTCTACAGAGGACGTGTAGCCCAGACTAGGGGAGCTCGTGAAGCCGCCCAGTGCGTAGATATTATTCTGAAACATTTGCTATTAACTAATTGACAATAGTGTAACGGTCGTAAACTGATAGCTCAGTCAGACTTTAACTCGCGAACAATGTAAATAAACTTACCAAAGTTACACGATAGTAATACAAAACCTACATATAAATCTTAATCATTATAACTCACATCAATAGAGACAAGGCCGAATCCCCGACGCCCCTGACGGAGCGAGGGTCCTGTTCTCCAACTTCTCTCTCGAGGGTCGTACATTTCAACTGTGGACAGATCCATACAGTTTCTTCCTGCCCCTCCAGCAACAACTGAAATAAAGGACCGTGTTAATTAGGGTTTCTACGTTAATCACGCATATTCACGCATATCATTATGGATTCTGGAATCATTAAGAGTCAGACTATATGATAAGATGGATGATCAGTGATTAGTGGCCAATATTTAAATCAGCTTACCTATCTGATTGTTGTTGCTGGTAGCGGCGCAAGATCTCCTCGGAGTACCCAAACTAGCGACTTCTAACCACCTATTCGTTTCAGCATCTAACATCTCCATAGAGCTGAGATAAGAATTAGAATCGTTAGTTCCCGCCCCGACGAACACGTTGTTGTTGAGCGCCACCCCACAGAGGTGGTTCCTCGTGTGCAACATGCTCGGTAATTCCTGCCACTGCCCCACGTACGCATCGTACCTGAAATAGAGTTTGTTAGGGGCTCGTGACTTATTGTTGACTTGTGACTGATTATGGAATATGTCACGAAGGGTAAGGTCATTTTTCGGATAAGAAACATATACTTGAGACTTAACAATAGGAAGGAAATTAATTAAATTAATTTCTAGCCTAGGAACAGACACCGAAGTTCTCCAAAACAATCAGTTATTCTAAGAAATAATTTAAGTTTATCTGAATTGAAATAAGAACTTCCAACCCGGACCGGTGCTTATCTCACCTCTCAACATTACTGATATGGTCGGTCCCGTTACTGCCTCCAGCTATGATGACGTCACAACCCCGTCCAATAGCCACGTGATCGCGTCTCTGAGTGAGAGGGAGAGGGAGCGAGTACCAGGAACTGTCACTGGAGTTAACCTCTTTGTCAGGAGGACTCGTGCTACTCAGATCACAGCCCCATGTCTTGGACCAGATAGAGTTTTCTTGTTGACCTGAGAGAGAGGGAGTTGGTTAGTCTGAGGTTAAACAGTACGAGGTTAAACAAACTGATAGTGATGGCTTTACTTGAAAAGCCTTGACACGCCAGCAAGCGCCAGACATCTATCACTCATGATGATCAATATTAAAGTTATCTCTAGTTAGGAAGCACCAAGTGGTTTATCTCGAGTAGAAGCACCAAGTGGTTTATCAGTACCTCCAATGATGACAGCCAGCTCGTCCACAATCTTCCTGCGTCCCCTGTTCCTGGGAGGTCCAGGCACAGTGCAGACTTGTCTTTTAAGGGGTTCAAAGTGGTTCAACAGCGCTGTCTCTAGGTGTGGCACCGCCTCCACACATTTAGTGGTCGTGATGGCTTTCACAAAGTCGCTCGTTCCAAATAGGTGAAACCTGAAGTGACAGCGGTGGTTAGAGTTGATTTATAGCAATTATATAAAATCTGATAAGGGAATCTTATCGACCTGCCGAATCTCTTTTGTGTATTTATCTTGACAGGCGTTAATAGGATTACAAAAGTGCTTCACCACACCCAGCATGATTGTTATCAACAGAAAACCGGCAGCAGTATAGGAGGGTAAACAATGAAATAGAGTGTATCATGTCGGAAAAAAGCATAAAGCTCTGTGTTTTTACCATACCTGACAGAGTTTAAAAGTTCAGGCATGAAGTCCCTCCTCTCGGTTTCATCGTGTTTAAACCACTTAGTAACCGCCTCCAGCACCACCCTCTCCTCAGGAACCTTCAGTAGATCATCTGACAGGAGCATCATGAGTTTCTGGGGATCCAGTTGTACGAAGTCAGGCGTGTCGATCACTTTCGTGAAGTTTTTCAGAGCGTAAGATCTGGCCTCTGCAGCGGCGATGTTGCAGGAGTAAAGTTCAGAGACTTGCCACACAGCAAGGCAGTTTGAGGAGGAAACGTGGGAGGTCATGTATTTCAGGGCCATTCTTTTGAGGTCTCCTAGGTCCATCATCTCAGCTGCGGATAGTACACCCTGAACGTCTTCACCTGGAGATACGTTTTATGGTCAGATAGATATAATCAAATTTATCAAGTTAAATGGATAGAATTGTCTGTAAAACATGGGGAAATGGTTGAAATTGATCAATCTGATGAGATATTATTTTATTACCGATGTATAATGATATGAGGTTTTTTGTTGGACTTAAGCCAGTAGATTTGCAATCAATAATCATTTATCTAATGAACAAGGGAAAATACCAAGCAACCACACACGATTCACAATTCTGTGTTTCGTGAATGGTCGAATCACGATTTTCGCATACGTTGTAGGCCGTTAAGTATGAATTAAGAGTGAAGCTAAGCTAGTTTAATGGGTGTGAGGTGATCTTGTGGGTTTAAACGTATTTCGGATTTCCCACAATAATTGTAACTATTTCATTTGTAACTATTTTCCTTCGCTTGGTGGTCAAAGGCTCAAAGAAAGCTGCAAAAGTGACATAACCAAATTGACGATAAAAGTGCATGATAAAAACCATTTCTCACAGAACTCAAACTTTAAACTAACCTAAAATACGAATCTTTTCATTGTAAATAAACCCGACAACAATGTCGAGCGTCTTCAGGGATATTCCAGTAAGTTTAACCTCGGTTGCCCAACTCTCGCGGGTTCCACACATGAACATGGCTCGGAAGTACGAGCACCGACTAGCCAGGATCACTTTGTGAGCGCTGATCTGGCCATCTTCTGCTTCTAGTATAACATCGCAGAAAAGAGAGTTCCTCCGCAAGCGTCCCAGGTGTTTGAATGCGGATAACAGGTGTTCTGAACTTTGCTCCGTGTCTGTGAGGGAGTTGTTTATTATATACGGGACAGAATGTGCCATGAAAACATCTTTATAGTTGTCTTTAATTTAGTTAAAGTTCATTACTTTATAAATAAAGAGAGTCGTTCAAATTAACTTAACTTTAATACCGTTTATTCTAGACAGAAATTAATAAATTATAGCTGATTTACAACGGACCTGATTCAATGTAACGTCGTTTAGAGAGATGACACGGACGAGACTCGGTCCTCGGAGTAGCTACAGTTGACATAACATTCGCTGTCTTGAGTCTGGCAAAGTGTAACGAATTACAAACGTGGAATGAAAAGTTACGAGAAAAGTAAAAAGCGTTTATACTTGGTGTTCAGCGACTATAGCTGTCTGACAGATGTTAAACATGTGAGAATCTGTCAACTGGAATTAAATTGTCAGGTCAGTTTACGTGACCTCCTTTTATAACTGTTAAGAAGTTCTTTTTAAAAAGTGTGAACTAGTCCATGTCACTACCAGTAGGATGTGGTGAGAGGTCAGTTAGACCACCCCGTACCAGATTCAACCGACCACTAAGTGCCACAAAACTGAAACGTCAGATTCTGGTAGATTTATGTATCTATCAACCAAATTATCACTTGATGTGTCAATCATAATCTGTCAACAGAGGCTGAGATAAGTTTCTGAAGTAAGATTAGAAGACTGCAGACCAACTAATTAATTTTTAGAGGAGGTGATATCTGAACCGTCACCAGCGGCGATAAAAAATAGCTTAAACTGACGAGCTCCGTTTCATTTACCAGAAAAAGTGATTGCCCTCAGAATGTCACCTTTTTGGTATATATGCAGACAAAATAACTCACTGATTAAAATAAGTCTAAAAGAAAATGACAAATTGCAAAAATACACCCACTTATCATCAGGGTTAATATGGGCATAATGTCCGATTAGAAAACATTGCGGCAAGTACCAACTATCACAAACCACACTGTAACTACTTAATATAGCACCCAACAACAATACATTGTCTGTGATATATTAGTAGCATATGATATTGTACACTATAACGGGAGACAATAGCAATGCCTGGGAACCACTCTATTAAAACAATACGCTTCCCACCAAAGCAAGGGAAACTGAATCTGTGAATATAACATCCTACACTTTGTTGTGGTTATATTACTGATTACTGAAGTACCATGATCTGAACCCCTCCAAGATTGGCTTCCGGTGCAGCATGTTATCCGGATAAAGTTGCAGACCTCAAAAAGAGTAAGATAATATCATGACAGTAACAAAATAACACAAAACACATCTGATACCAACTCTCGCACAAAGCGGCGACACAGTGTGACAGTAAATATAGGCATTACAGGGATAAGGGAGACTCGTGATAACAGGTATATCTCCTCTTTAGAGGAGGAATCCTCGTCACCTCTTTGTGGACCACTTTATCAACAGGGCACGTGACCCAGACCACCAGGTCACATGACCAATGTCTCGTTGTTGACGGCATTGTCCGGTATTGTTCTTATCCGGTCCAGTTTACGGCAGTGCCGGTAATGTTTTGGTTAGGTCAGAACCGCAGAGCTCCTAGTAAAAGTGCCACAGAGCGATTGCCTGGTAACTTGGGTCCTTTATCTAGGAACTGGTCATTGGTAACGAGAGTAGATATCAGGGGAACTGGTCAGTAGAGTGACAGGTTCTAGACAGGGTCCCAGACTGTACCTGATTAATGCCGACTAAAGTACGGACTAATGTGGACAGGGAGTGGAGCTCAATTTGAGGATAGTTTACAGGTCTACTACTTACAGCTGGAGAGAGATAATAATCACAGAAACAATCCGGCTCAACTTGTCAGTGTCATGTCACTCTGGAGTTCTAACGAGTCGCGCTAACCGCTGCCGTGATTAACTAAAAGTTTCCCATAATTGGAACTATCTCTTATCCTCTTATCAACCCTTTGATCTGAAAGAAGCTAGTTCCCCTCAAAGGCTCGAGCCTACAGAGAGGTATTTGTAAACCAAGAAAGGGAAAATGAAAAGCTGAAAAGTGCTGACAAGCGCCCGTGAAAGCGTCGGGAGATAAAGTAAAACTGTGCCCGGTCTCGCCGTGGTACCCGGGCTCCGGGAGTCATGAAATATGCGGGCAGCTAGTGTGACTTTAATTAGGCAGAAAGTGCTTTTAGCTGAGACTTGCGACTAGAACTTCCACTTTCAGCGAGTGGGTACAAGCAAATGGAGGAGAGCAGAATTACACGCAAATACTGTGCGATAAACTAGAGAACTACTCTACGTATAGTGTAGGAGAGAGAGTTCTCATTTATTATGAAACAAAACACACAACAACCTGATCGGCATATTAAAAGGGACTCTTCGTGTTATCAGAAACCTTATCACGCACAAGCATATCAAATGAGGGTTCTCCGATATACCCACAAGTCAACACGAGGCTACCTGCTCACTGCATGTTTCATGTGAGAACCTCATTAACTGTAAATGGTCGGAATGGTAATTGGATCGGGTCTCATTAAATGAATAGGGGTCCTGATTCCTGGACATTCTATCCCTCTCTTTTTTCACATGTTCAATCGAAACCGGACTATGAGATGAGGGCTAGCCAGTTCTGGCTGTGTATCGGATTACACATGTTACAAGACACTCACATTTTACCATTAGTCACAAAGCGGCCCACAAAGCACTTTCTTAGGGTAAGCTTAGTAAAATACGCATTAAAAAGGCCCCCTTTATCGCACCTTCAGTTACTGTAGAATTGCACTTTAGCACCTATTTGATGAGTGATGAGGGGCACTTAGAGCTAACAGGGCTAGACACTAGTGAAAGGGGATTTAATTTGGTGGTGGCTGTGATAATAATTTGTAAACTAATTTCCTGGTACCAGAGTGAATATTCAGGGGTATACCCGTGAAATGGACCACATACTGACATAGTTTCTGTAACATGTCGACTAGACAGGACCCTCCAAACTGAGGTGTAGACGGGAGATTACAGAGTCATTAGGATAACGAAATGCTCTGCAGTGTAGCGTGATCTATCAATGATTCAAATTGATCGAAATCGATTAGGAAATCATTAATTCAACTGAGCATTGATTGGATCAACCCAAGTAAATCAATTGAGCAATTATAACGACATCAAGTTTGAGATAAACTTGTACAAAACCTTGTAAAGTTGTAATCAAATTTTATATTCGTATACATAGTTACAAGTACTTAGTACATAGCTAGACGACTAGGTCGCGAAAAATGCGAGTGCCTTGTCAACAATCCTTTTGGTGCACGACATTGAAACACCCGATGTATATCACAAATTCTCGCTCAAAACTAAACCTTAAATCTTATTATAAACTAAACTGAAGACACGGGGAGAATCACTGAATAACCAGGACAAAGAGTTGGGAGGAAACAAGCACCATATCTTCATGGTAACAGGTAGGTTGTGATGGTAACTTAACTGACAAGTTGTGGCAGTAATGGGCAGGTTGTGATGGAAACCGTGAGGCGGTTGTGATGGAAACAAGTACAAACTACAGTAGTACGTACAAGTCGTACAACAATAACTACACGAGCATCACGTTTGCCAGAGCTCGCGACTTAGTGTGAAAACATCGCACAACTCTACATGCTAAATACAAAACATTGTAACAATATTTTGCGCTGGAAATGGCTCGGGAACGAATCATCACAACTTTTCCAGTGCACATTTTCACGATTGATCATCCACCGCACGAGCGAGAGTAGACCAGCCTCATGCTGATATACTTGACTCGTATTGAAGTACTGGATGGAAAAATTTACAGAGAACAACTAGAGTTTAACTAACATATGATGCTTATTTATCATGCACGCTACAGTAATCAATGGCCGCAAATTTCAAGACGTGCCTTAAAAATTCACACCAACACACTTATAATAAATTCACAACTTTTAACATCAACAAAAGATGTAAAAAGTGCGATTTCAACCAAGGTGGGGTCAGTTATTATTGATCTGCCAAATCACAAACAGCACTGCTTGGACTGAGCTAAGGTTGTCTACTCGAGCCAATAGTACGGAAATGAGGACAACAAATTTAAATTTGTCATCTTGAAAATGGCAATGCAGTTACTAATATACTATACACAAGACTAATTACTGAAAACAGCGAGCAGTATTGCGGCGACCGTAGATGAGGGTGTTAGAGGTTCGTGAAGTACACTAAACTATCGAAACTTGTCACCAGGTTAACCTATGCTCGGAGGATAGTGCGTCGCGACACAAGACAGGAACTATTAAAACGGCGAATGACTCAGTAAAACTTATAGCGACATTGGCCGGAAAAGTGCTGGGGAGATGACGGGATATCAGCGGAATCCCAAAAATTCATAACCGGACAAATGAGTTATACCACAAATTTGGGAAATTTAGCACAGACTGAAGAACACCAACGGAAACAAGAACCTCCAAAAAGCGATGACTCTGTCTTATGAAATTAAATATCGGATAGAATTATAGAATTATAATATCAAGGTACTCGGAATTATACAGAATTATAATACCCGAGTACTCAGAAAAGAGGGACGTGACCCAGTGACCCACCAGTGACAGAACCAAGAGAGAGAGAGAGGGGGAGAGGGGAGAGGGCCTAGACTTGGTGAGACGTGACAGGTATTAAACCCAGTTAGGAGAATAATTAAAACCAGACGGTGCGGTAATTGGCTAATGTGATAATTGGAATTTAGTGCAGCAATTCATCGGGTACACTGACAATAGGGGGAAACAGTCATTTAGCATTATAATATTCGTAATCTTCACCCCTTAAGTGGGGGCTGATTTTATCAGAATTGGTAATTGAATTATGGTGTTACTGGTCAAATGGCGGGTAAAAGTTTGTAGAAGTTTGTCCCAACTCCCAGTTAGTGGAGAACAAAGTCCTACAGCTAAAAGGATATATCACGAAATTAATGGCATTATTAATATTTAACACCACCAGGATCTCAAACAAGGAATTCCAGTCTGATCGATTGCTAAGAACAAAAACAGGCGTTAAAAATGGACCCGAAATTCCCAGAACAATCGAGCAAGAGAAATCAGGTAAAAACCTAAAACGCTATACAAGTCCGAGCCTGGTGTCGCAATAGTAATATTACAAGAGCCTGGCCCACCGACAGAGAACCAGCAAAGAGCACAGGTGCTGCCGCGGAGAAACATTTGCAAAGGTTCACTATAGACACATGTGCTTACACTCGCGTACAGTCACTCCTACATAATATGTAATGCTCACAGCAGCTGCGCTGAACTCGCAGACCAGAGCGTAACTAGCGATAA